CCACTGCTTCTAGAACCTTCTCCAAGTTTCTAGGGCAGGGGGAGGTATCAAGGACCTGATCCGTACAGCCTTTCAACCCTGACCTAAATTTGAGCCTCTGACTCAGCCCAGGCTGCTACCCAGCCTTTCTAGCTGGAAAAAAATGTAACTGCCCCCCGGCTATCTAGAGGGGCACCACATTAGCCAAAAACCATCTGTATAGAGAGAAAACAGGTGGCGCACTCACCTAGTGCATTATCCAAGGTTTATTGTAGGAATGAAATAATAAAAGCATACTCACAGACGAAGCGTGTATCTAAAAAGCATAGAAAAATGACAATGGCCACAACGGCAGGCAAGGTGTTCTCACTGTCAGTGCGGTCAAATACTGACGCGTTTCGGGGACTAATCCCTTTCCTCAGAGCTGATAACCAGCCTGTATGGAGGTGAAGTAGTAAATAACCAGGGCTAGATGCCTTGGGAGCAAAGCTCCACCTCCTCTATTTGTTATAGGATGAGGGGTTGGAGGGGGTTATTTAAAGTGCAATCTTTTGTAGTTTTTATAATCATTGCCAGTGTTACTACTACGATTATTTTTATACATTTTATTTTACATTTTTTTTTTTGTTATTTATCTACATTTGCAGGTGCTATATTCATGTATTTTTAATAATTTTTTATTTGCTTTGTCTCTTAGTGCATGTATGTATCTTTGTATATGTGTATATGCATGTGTATATATGTATGTATATGCGTTTATAAAAACTACAAAAGATTGCACTTTAAATAACCCCCTCCAACCCCTCATCCTATAACAAATAGAGGAGGTGGAGCTTTGCTCCCAAGGCATCTAGCCCTGGTTATTTACTACTTCACCTCCATACAGGCTGGTCATCAGCTCTGAGGAAAGGGTTTCGTCCCCGAAACGCGTCAGCCATTTGACCGCACTGACAGTGAGAACACCTTGCCTGCCGTTGTTGCCATTGTCATTTTTCTATGCTTTTTAGATACATGCTTCGTCTGTGAGTATGTTTTTATAATTCTTTCACTCCTACAATAAACCTTGGATAATGCACTAGGTGTGTGCGCCACCTGTTTTCTCTCTATACATATGGTGTTTGGCTAATGTGGTGCCCCTCTAGATAGCCGGGGGGGGGGGGGCAATTACATTTTTTTTCCAGCTAGAAAGGCTGGGTAGCAGCCTGGGCTGAGTCAGAGGCTCAAATTTAGGTCAGGGTTGAAAGGCTGTACGGATCAGTTCCTTAATACATCAGCTCTGAGGAAAGGGATTCGTCCCCGAAACAAGTCAGCCATTTGACCGCACTGACAGTGAGAACACCTTGCCCGCCGTTGTGGCCATTGTCATTTTTCTATGCTTTTTAGATACATGCTTCGTCTGTGAGTATGTTTTTATTATCTTTTCACTCCTACAATAACCTTGGATAATGCACTAGGTGTGTGCGCCACCTGTTTTCTCTCTATCCAGTGACTGATTTCCCCGTCTGAGGAGGGCTGCACCCCTGAAGCATTTCCTTTGGTTGTCGCTGTCCTGGTACCCTTGGCTTCCCTTTTGGCTGTGCATATCCTGAGGCGCTGGAGAGTACATACAAAAACCATCTGTATGCCTCTCTGAAACTAGTATCTTTCTACAGTTGTGTTCCAAAGAGGCACAGAGAGGTTTTTTTGGCTAACAAATGTAATGCCATGGGTCTTGTGGTCTTCGCTCTTGGGCAGTGCTTTTACATTTAGACAAGTTCACTTTTCGCACAGCTCGATTGTCTCTCAAGTAGCTCAGCCATGCCAGGGGTGTCACAGAGGGGAGGCCAGAAGGGCCTCGAGTTGGGTCTGGGTTGCTATATGAGCTTCTCTTCTCTATGTTGGGCAGCAGAGCAGAACCTTCCTTCGCCTGAGAATTGAATGCCGATAATGATACTGCTGGACTCGAGCTTGTGTTCCCAGTCTGTACGGTGTCTGGCTGAAAGCCAGGATGACACCTAATACCTTCATTCCTCTACTCAGAAGTCCAACCCTCTCCCTTTCCTGTAACACAGATCACCTGGCATATGTAGTACTCCCTTGTGAGTCACTGGCCTTGTGTATTGAGATAAAAAAAGAAGGTATGATCTAGGGCAGAAGTCTCCAAACTTTCTAACTAAAGGGCCAGTTTACTGTCTTTCAGACTTTAGGGGTGTGGGACTGTGGCTTATGAGAGTAAAGAATGCCCTGGTGTCAGTGGGAGTAAATATCATCTTTGATATTAGGAGAGGAATAATGCCCCATCGTTGGTGTCAGTGGGAGAAAGAGTGTCCCATTGTTGTTATCAGTGGGAGGAATAGTGCCCTATTTGGTGTCAGTGGGAAATATAGTGTCCCATTGTTATCAGTGGGAGGAATAGTGCCCCATAATTGGTGTCAGTAGGAAAAAACGTGTCCCATTGTTGTTATCAGTGGGAGGAATAGTGCCCCATAATTGGTGTCCGTGGGAAAAAGAGTTTCCCATTGTTGTTATCAGTGGGAGGAATAGTACCCCATTATTGGTGTCAGTGGGAAAAATATTGTCCCATTGTTGTTATCAGTGGGAGTAATAGTACCCCATAATTGGTGTCCGTGGGAAAAAGAGTTTCCCATTGTTGTTATCAGTGGGAGGAATAGTACCCCATAATTGGTGTCAGTGGGAAAAAGAGTGTACCATTGTTGTTATCAGTGGGAGGAATAGTGCTCGTCATTGGTCACAGTGAGGGGAATAGTTTCTCATTGTTGTCATTGAGAGGAATCATGCTGCACTGTTGGTGTCATTGGGAGGAATAGTGCCCCATTATTGGTGCTGTTGAGAGGAATAGTGCCCCATTGTTGGTGCCAGGGGAAGAAATAGTGCCTCATTGTTAGTGTCAGTAGGAGGAATAGTGCCCCAAGGGCCAGATAAAGACAAGCAAGGGGCCACATCTAGCCCCCAGGCCACAATTTGTAGACCACTGATCTTACCTTTTTTACCCCAGGGGAACCCTTGAAATTTCAGGTCTTAGAGAATCCTTAATAAAATGAATTCATAGGAATCAATTGGAAGAATGCTTGCAACATTAATGATCAGTGAAAGAATGTCCCTCTTAGGCCTCTGTTAGATTGGTGGTCTGTGGGCAGTATGGGTTTTTTTCCACCCGCCAACCACCCCCCCCCCCCCCCCCCCCACCCCCCCCCCTTAGGCTGTAATAAGCAGTGGAAGGGGATGTTTACATGCCACGGCCACAATGCTTCATGACTGTGGCAAAGTAGAACCGACATGCTGCGACCGGCGGGTGGCATGCCCACCAAATGCTACACATTCAAGTCAGCAGGGAAGAGCAGTACACACCCTGCAACCACGTGAGTTGCACGTGGCTTTGGCAAGAATATCGGCAAAAATAGGGTCAAATCAGGGAGTGAGGAGGCATCACAGCACTTTCTCAGTCAGTAGCCTCTGGAGAGCGATCCGGAAGTGGATCAAGATTCAGAGGCAAGCAAGATTTAGATATACAGTGTGTCTAAATCTACCCATACTGTGGTGGTCAGAATGCCACTCATACAAATAGCTAAAAGGTCATTGGTGTCATGCTGCTGGTTCTGCTATGTGGCATTCTACCCAAAAATATGTGGGCACCATCAGATGGGAAGTCAGTGAGCCCCAGTTCATGGAACCTCTAGCAACCTCTAGAGCAGTGGTTCTCAACCTTCCTAATGCCGCGACCCTTTAATACAGTTCCTCATGTTGTGGTGACCCCCAACCATAAAATTATTTATCCAGTAATTATAATTCATGAGTGTCGTTTTACCTCCAATACTGCTGCTTTCAACACAGTAGCTGCTATTAACAGAGTAGCTGCTTTCAACACAGCAGCTGCTTTCTACACAGTAGCTGCTCTTTACACATCGGAAATATGTGTTTTCTGATGGTCTTAGGGGACCCCTGTGAAAGGGTCGTTCGACCCCCAAAGGGGTCGCGACCCACAGGTTGAGAACCACTGCTCTAGAGGGATCCACAGAATCCTGGTTGAAAATGGCGAATCTAGAAAGTTTAATATGCTGAGGGTTCACCGCATGTAGAACAAATCATAAGTGCCTTCTTTAACATTGTCTTGTAGACTTTATCATGTATACATATCAATTTATTTATTTAGCAGCACACCCTGTTGACCAGAGGTGGTCAATTTATTTGATATAGGGGGGCCTAAAGTGTGGTCCTAAACACTACTAAATAGCTGCATATAATATTCAGTGAATGGAATGTTACACAACGCTAGAAAAAAATGCAACAGGAGATGGTTACAGCCTACGAACATGCTAAGAGAGATGGTCAGAGATGGCAGACACGCCATTGTTGTTGGAGACTGGATACATGCTTCAGGAGAGTATCATAGACTGGAAACACATTATACGAGACTGCTAGAGATCACACCCCTTTGCAAATACATCCATATTTAGGCTCCATTCACATCTGAGCGTAGTGTTTTTCAGCATTTTTGCTGCGTTTTGTTGTGCGGGTTTTTGCGTGTTTTCATACAGTGTTTTTAGGCGTTTTTGAGCTTTGGCATTTTTTTATTAGCCAATAGAGAAAAATATCATCTGTTGCATCGCTTGTTGCTAGGTTTTAATTTTTTTTAAGTTTTTCCATCAGCTTTAGTTTTTATTGTTATTATTATTATTCTTAATTTTTTTTATTATTTTGTTTTTTGTTAGGGTAAGGGGTTAAAGGAAGGTTAGGGTTAGGATTAGGGTTTGGGATTAGTATTTTATATTGATTATTTTCTTATTATTTATTTATTATTTTATTTATAGTATTTTACTTACTATTTTCTCATTATTTATTTATTTTTTGTTAGGGTAATAATATTAATAACAATAATAATAATAATAAAGTAAATACCATATTATTCGCTCCATAAGATGCACCTTTTCCCCCCCCCAAAAAAATGGGGGAAAATATCTGTGCGTCTTATGGAGCGCATACGGAGTGGCCGGCCCGGAATTCCCACCGCCGCAGTGTTAGAATACCGGGCCGGCCGCTCGGATCTACTGAGCAGAAGAATCTACTCCTCGGTCCAGCAGTGTGTCTGCTTCCACCGGCCGTCTTCTCTCCCCGGCGCCGTCATCTTCAATGTGGGCACCCAGCTGTGACAGCTTGCGACTTGGGAGCAGGTACCTGTCAAATTCGGGTACCCGTCCCCCGCTCCCCAAAGGTCTACAGTCTCTGGTCATCCCCTGTACTGTGTCTGCAGTCTCTGGTCATCCCCTGTACTGTCTGCAGTCCCTGGTCATCTCCTGTACTGTGTCCGCAGTCTCTGGTCATCTCCTGTACTGTGTCTGCAGTCTCTGGTCATCTCCTGTACTGTGTCCGCAGTCTCTGGTCATCTCCTGTACTGTGTCCGCAGTCTCTGGTCATCTCCTGTACTGTGTCCGCAGTCTCTGGTCATCTCCTGTACTGTCCGCAGTCTCTGGTCATCTTCTGTACTATGTCCACAGTCTCTGGTCATCTCCTGTACTGTGTCCGCAGTCTCTGGTCATCTCCTGTACTACGTCCGCAGTCTCTGGTCATCTCCTGTACTATATCTGCAGTCTCTGGTCATCTCCTGTACTGTGTCCGCAGTCTCTGGTCATCTCCTGTACTGTGTCCGCAGTCTCTGGTCATCTCCTGTACTGTGTCCGCAGTCTCTGGTCATCTCCTGTACTGTGTCCGCAGTCTCTGGTCATCTCCTGTACTGTGTTCGCAGTCTCTGGGTCATCTCCTGTACTGTGTCCGCAGTCTCTGCTCATCTCCTGTACTATGTCCGCAGTCTCTGCTCATCTCCTGTACTATGTCCGCAGTCTCTGGTCATCTCCTGTACTATGTCTGCAGTCTCTGGTCATCTCCTGTACTGTGTCCGCAGTCTCTGGTCATCTCCTGTAGTATGTCCGCAGTCTCTGGTCATCTCCTGTACTTTGTCTGCAGTCTCTGGTCATCTCCTGTACTGTGTCCGCAGTCTCTGGTCATCTCCTCTACTATGTCCGCAGTCTCTGGTCATCTCCTGTACTATGTTCGCAGTCTCTGGTCATCTCCTGTACCGTGTCCGCAGTCTCTGCTCATCTCCTGTACTGTGTCTGCAGTCTCTGGTCATCTCCTGTACTATGTTCGCAGTCTCTGGTCATCTCCTGTACTATGTCCGCACTCTCTGCTCATCTCCTGTACTATGTCCGCAGTCTCTGCTCATTCTCCTGTACTATGTTCGCAGTCTCTGGTCATCTCCTGTACTATGTCTGCAGTCTCTGGTCATCTCCTGTACTATGTCCGCAGTCTCTGGTCATCTCCTGTAGTATGTCCGCAGTCTCTGGTCATCTCCTGTACTTTGTCCGCAGTCTCTGGTCATCTCCTGTACTGTGTCCGCAGTCTCTGGTCATCTCCTGTACTATGTCCACAGTCTCTGGTCATCTCCTGTACTGTCCGCAGTCTCTGGTCATCTCCTGTACTATGTTCGCAGTCTCTGGTCATCTCCTGTACTGTGTCCGCAGTCTCTGGTCATCTCCTGTACTATATCTGCAGTCTCTGGTCATCTCCTGTTCTATGTCTGCAGTCTCTGGGGTCCCTTCCCTCCAATCAGCTCTCACAGCTCTTCTTACTGAGCTCTGCAGTGTGCAATTTCAGTTCTCTGCCCCCTTTTTTCTGAGCCCTCAGACAAGCTTTATAAATTCAGCACTTTGAATGGATGTAGAGGAGAAAAGACTGCAGATAAACGGGTCCAACTTATGCAGGTGGATTTGATTCATCTCTGTGTATCACCGAAGGCTAGTCAGTTCACTGGGTATATGCAATTGGATTTTGTGCATGTTAGGTACATGCATGCATTCAGACATATTTCACAGATATCAGGATACTCACCCTGACAGAGCCTTTATTTGTTTTTCTTGCCAGAACGATGGAACCATCTTTGCTTGGGCACTATCCAGGGGTCATCAATTACTTCCTGGACTGAAGTGATCAGAGGTGGTACAATCATGGAGTCCCTGGTGCCTGTGCCATGTAATATAGGAATGTATTCATGAAGACAAATTATTAAAAGGCCCATTTTAAATAACAAAAAAATACTAAAAGCTGAACAATGCAGCTCTGTACCAATCTGAAGAGTATATTTAAAAAATATATATTTTTTAAAATATATATTTAAAAAATATATTTAAAAAATATATATTTTTAAAATATACTCTTCAGATTTTTTTTAACATATAAAAAAGTCATTTTAACATATATTTTTGCATATACTTGTAAATGCATTCCAAAAATGTAGATTTGTAGACATACAAGACATACAGTATATTTGAAATGTATTTTTAAAAATATTTTTTCATATACTTTGTAATAAAAAGGCATTTCAACATGCAGTATATATATATATATATATATATAATATATATATATATATATATATATATATAATATATTTATTGAAATATATTGAATATGGCCAAAATTGTAGCATTTCAAATATTATATCAATATATTTGGGAGGAATATTTTTAAAATATATTTCAAATATATTTCTCTTCCATGTGGGTATTTATTAAGACATCATTAAATATATAAAAAAGAGCTGAGAACATCAAACAAATATCAGGTGTCCTGCCCTGCCAGATAGGACCAGGGGCGAACTGACCATTTGGAAACTTGGGCACTGCCCGAGGGCCAGGGGTCAGTAGGGGGCCCCATGAAATGCCCCTGGTACCTTTTTCATAGGCTTTTTTGAGTTTGGGCAAGGACACAGGGGCCCCATGATCCCCTATTGCCCGGGGGCCCCATGAGTTGTCAGTCCGCCTCTGGATAGGACTGTGCTGTGTGGCAGAGCTGTGCATATCTCAGGACAAGAATAGACAGATATACAATTCCTTTGGCACAAATAAACCAGCTATATGCATTTATCTGGGTATTGCTATAATTTGATCTAGAAATAATATTTCTTTGCTGTTACAAATAATTTAGTTTATTATGAAGAAGTCCCCCCTGAACTAGACACAAATACCCTCAAGAATACACATGCCATTCAATGAGAGCTCATGGCCTAATCTAGTTTTGAACAGACAAGTTGTGATTTGGATATTTCATTGACTACCTAACGCACCTCAGTTCATAAAATTCAAATTTCCTGATTAAATGGACACAAAAATTGCTTGGATTGAATATAAATTGCAGATCCAATGAAATATGCAAACTGTCGTTTGCCTGTGCAGAAATAACTATCCCCCAAATCCCCAAGTTCTTCATATTCAACAGTAATGACAGATTCCTTACTATCCCTGTGCAGCGCCTCATCTGATCTGCATACTCATCCTCCGGTATATTTAAAGAAGGATCTGATAATTCAACGTAGTCTTTATGAATACTGGAGACTTCGCTTTTTCCCAGAACATGGACTGCCAAGGTAGCAACAACTGTCTTATAAGGAATTGCAGTTTTTATTTCAGTAAACGTCTAGAATTACCCATAGTAAACTATTATATTTCACACAGAACATGGAGGCTTGATAGGATACATTTGTACACCCTCCAATATAAATGGGCCCCATTTCACTTGTTTTCTGCTCCCCTCTGGGTCCTAATTCTGACCAGTATACAAAGCTATTCCTCCAACACCCCAAAAGCTGATCCCCATCTAGTACAGTCTACATTTTACCTATGCTTCTATTCCCTTCTGTGTATGTTTTCCTTTTGGGACATTAATAAATATACTGTATATATAGAGAGAGAGAGAGAGAGAGAGAGAGGGGGGGGGGAGAGGGAGGGAGAGAAAGGGAGAGAGGGAGGGAGAGAGAGAGAGAGAGATACCCCAAGTTTCTAATACCCTCCTCCAAAACATTGTGCTTGAGCCCTCTGGATTCTGACAGAGAGACTCATATCCCGCAATATACAGAGATCCCCTAGATCCTGATAACCCTTCTTTCTAGATCCGGGATCTCCAAACTTTCAAAACAAAGGGCCAGGTTACTGCCCCCTAGACCTTAGTGGGACTGGACTGTGGTCCGTGGGAGTATAAAATGGTACCAGTGAAAACAATAGTGTCCCATCGATGATGTCAGTGAGAACAATAATCTCCCATCTTTGGTGTCAGTGAAGGAATAGTGTCCCATCGATGATGTCAGTGAGAACAATAATCTCCCATCTTTGGTGTCAGTGAAGGAATAGTGTCCCATCACTGGTGTCAGTGGAGGAATAGTGTCCCATCACTGGTGTCAGTGGGAGGAATAGTGTCCCATCACTGGTGTCAATGGAGGAATAGTGTCCCATCACTGGTGTCAGTGGGAGGAATAGTGTCCCATCACTGGTGTCAGTGGGAGGAATAGTGTCCCATCACTGGTGTCAGTGGGAGGAATAGTGTCCCATCACTGGTGTCAGTGGGAGGAATAGTGTCCCATCACTGGTGTCAGTGGGAGGAATAGTGTCCCATCACTGGTGTCAATGGAGGAATAGTGTCCCATCACTGGTGTCAGTGAGAGGAATAGTGTCCCATCACTGGTGTCAGTGGAGGAATAGTGTCCCATCACTGGTGTCAATGGAGGAATAGTGTCCCATCACTGGTGTCAGTGAGAGGAATAGTGTCCCATCACTGGTGTCAGTGGGAGGAATAGTGTCCCATCACTGGTGTCAGTGGAGGAATAGTGTCCCATCACTGGTGTCAGTGGGAGGAATAGTGTCCCATCACTGGTGTCAGTGGGAGGAATAGTGTCCCATCACTGGTGTCAGTGGGAGGAATAGTGTCCCATCACTGGTGTCAATGAGAGGAATAGTGTCCCATCACTGGTGTCAGTGGGAGGAATAGTGTCCCATCACTGGTGTCAGTGGGAGGAATAGTGTCCCATCACTGGTGTCAATGAGGAATAGTGTCCCATCACTGGTGTCAGTGGGAGGAATAGTGTCCCATCACTGGTGTCAGTGGGAGGAATAGTGTCCCATCACTGGTGTCAATGAAAGGAATAGTGTCCCATCATTGATGTCAGTGGGAGGAATAGTGTCCCATCACTGGTGTCAGTGAGAGGAATAGTGTCCCATCACTGGTGTCAGTGGGAGGAATAGTGTCCTCATCATTGAAGTCAGTGTGAGCAATAGTGCTTCATATCAGTGGGAGAAATAGTGCCTCAATTACCGGCTAAAAGAAAGCAAAAGGCCACAGTTTGGAGATCACTGTTCTATATCAACCTTTTTCAATCTTTCTACCCCAGAGGAACCCTTGAAATGATTCTCACATCTCAGGGAACACCTGCTTAGATGCCCCTTACATTGGTGGCCAGTGGGAAGAATGCTATCCTTTACAGACACCTTTAGAGAATATTGGTGTCATGCTACAGGCTCTGCCAAGTGGTGTCAACCTGGATCTATGAAGGCACCATCAGATGGGTGGTCAATTAGATCAGCAACCTCTGGGCATCCAGACCAGTGATCTCCAGATTCTCTAGTCCCCTCCAGCACAGAGAACTTTGGATCCTGTTCACCCTTTGTGAATCCTCCCCCCCCCAGTATAGAAGGTCCCTCTGCTCCATTTACACCCAAATCCTGCCTCCCTCATTTCTCCTGATCCCTTACACTATAGAAAGATCCTCCTTTTCCCCCAGTCCCGAACCCACCTTTTTTTGGATTCTGGTTGCTCTAGTACAGGGAG